AACCCGGGGTGCTCGTTGAAATATGCGAGTAGGCTTCCGTTTAATCATTTGCCGTTTCCAAAAAAAAAAACTAATTAGGGTTTCCTAGCGAAAAGGCCCAATCATAAAACCCAATACAAAATAAAGTCCAAAATCATAAAACCCAATACAAAATAAAACCCACATTCCAAAACTTGATTTTCTTTATGGTTGGAGTGATGTGGACTATATTTTAGTACTTTGTCCTTTTTGATTATGGCTGTTTGAGATAAATTTCCCAGTTAACCCAATAACCGAGTGTTTAAAACGGTTAAGGGCGGTGATTACCTCCAATTGTGGATTTGCCTTGATCATTTTATATGTATGTCTTGTTAAGTCCTTATGTTTTAAGGTTTTCTTTAGTAAGAATCATGAATCTGTCAAAATTATATATATCTGCAGGTCCATCAGTGAGACTTTTGTGTGTTGTTTGATACAACTATAGGTTACGTTGCTTTTGTTGATAATTTAGCTTCCATTTTGCAAATTGTGATTTGATTAACATATCATTTCCGGTGTATTTTGCCAGCTATAACTTTCTTTCACTTTAGTCTATCCATAAAAAATTTTCTTATAAATGATATGCCAATTAAAAATTGTTTGAGATGCTAATAGCTAATTCAGCAATAGCAAAAAGACATGATGTTCTCCCAAAAGTCCCGTGCTACCCTTCTCGTTAATAAGCTCCAATACTTTTCCTGCCTTTCTCATGTCAAAACAGATGTACATGATTTGTGATGGGTTGTTTTAGTTTATGCTCCATATATAGGTTGAGTTGATGTACTTTGTTGATCATCCTTAATTTGTAGCAGTTTTGGTAAGTTTATGTTAAGCAATAGTTTTTTATTTTGTAAATTAAAAAATATTAACCTTCCTATATCGTGATAAACAAACATAGAGTTACCAAAATTATGATAAAGAAACCTACAGTTTACTCAAACAGTCAAACTTAAGAAGTTTATGTTAAGCAACAATTTTTAATTTTATAAACTCAAAAAAAAAAAATATAGGAAAAGAAACAGGTGAGCATGTTGCCTCTTGAGATAATGCTTACTTCGGTAGTGGCTTTCCACATTACATGTCAATATGGTAAATAGGATGTCGATGAAAGAGCTATATAGAGAAGAAAGTGAAACATTAGGCACAAGTCAAAATAGACAATCTAAAATCTTGGTGGACACAATAAGGGAGGATGAAGGATTTCATTAGTTTGTTAAGAAATTGGCTAGATTCAAATACATATATTCTTGGTGTTTTATATGGTGGTTTATTTGGCCATCAATTGGTTTTTTTTCTGTGGTGGATGTGTTCCAAGTTTTTTTTTCTGTGGTGGATTTGTAATTTAAATCTCAATAGTTAGAAAATTTATTATTCGGGTCAAGTTATAAGGAAATAGTAAATATAAGACACCTATGGATTCGTAGTTTTAAGCTAATTATTCAAATGTAATTCATATATATAAAATTACTAGTTGTGAGACTCATGTATTAAATGAGTTAATTTAGAAAAAAAAGTTAAATATAATGGTTAAAATATTTGAGAATTTTGAATTTATAAGAAAATAAGAAAAATAATGAATTATTATAATGAAAATGATTTTTATCTTTTAAATTTAAACAAATAATTTAAATAAATAAACAAAATAAAGTAACGAGCTTTAATTTTGGGAAGTTTGAAATTAAAAGATAAGTTGATTAATGAAATTGATATCAATTTATTACTATATTTATTGCAATTATTATATTAAAATATTATGTGGAATTTAATAAAATAAAAAAAACTCATAAAATGACACGTGGAAAAAAATTAATTCAAAATAACCACAAAATAATATTTGTCAAATTGAATGAGAGTGTGATAAGTAGCAAAAAAAAATCTTTTATTTATTAGAATAGATCTCATAGTTTTTTTTATCAAATTAGTAACATTGTTTTAGTATATCTTTATAATGAATGGACAAAGTATAATCAAAGAAGTTCCAACCAAACCTACATTAATAATTATAGTCGTTATTGGAACAACTTCCATTCAAATACTGTTGATGTGATGCAGGGGTTCATTCATAAGTGCCACTATATATTATATTTGATATTTGATACTTTTTGATTGAATATGGCATGCTAAGTAGTGAAAATATAATTGAACATATTAATAAAAGTTTATTATTTAACTATATGGTAAACACTTAAAAGACTTAAATATATAGAGAGAGAAAATTGGATCCATGATTATATGTCGAATTACACGTATAAGTGCAGTAATAGTCAAAACTACATATTACCAAAAAGAAAAAAGATATTAACACGTGGGAAAAACCTACATATTACCAGAATCATTCTAAAGTTCTCGGCCTTTCCGAAGTCAAAACTATATCTTTAAAACCATTTCTCGCCGGAAAACCTCCATTGCCACCGTTCAAGCTTTCATACCCCAAGCTTTCCTTCCTTTCAGACGAAGAACACCAGTAATTTTCTTCTTCACTTCGATTTTGACTCATGCTACCAAAAGTCAAACACCGGTCAACCTTTTTACTTTTAGCAGTCCCCGGTTGCGTTTGATATCCATCCTGTAAACTCAACGATTCAATCCTCCGATTCATTACATTACAATCCGTATTCTCATCACCATAATCTTCACCTTCTTCTTCGTTGATGTTTTCATTATCACCATAATCCGTATTTTCGTCAAGCAGATTCTGATTCTGTTCGTCTTCTTCCACCATATCCGCCCAACTCTTCTTCTCCACCTTCGAGGGTATTTCCGTCATTTCACCACCCACGTTCCCTGGTTCTATCTTATCTTCTCCATCCTTTTCAAAATGTAATTTCCTAAAACAACCACCGGAATCAGCTCTCTCCCAATCTCGTCTTCTCGGCTGGGTAAACGGAACCCTAGGCGTGCCACAGATCGGCGACGGAGATGCATAAGCGCGACGGAATCCGGGATCGGAAACGGAATTGCTACGTTTTCCTCTTGTCGTCGCTTTCTCGTTGGAATCTGAGTCTTTGTGTCTACTGAGAAACGAAGAGAACGACGATTGATTTCCGGTGTTACGTCTTTTTTCCATTTCCAATTCTTCCATTACTTGAATCGCTCGCTCGTATGATTTCGCGTATGAATCTTCTTCAAAGTCCCGATTCCGATTTGAATCCTTCACTGTACTCAGAAGAAACTTCGCTTCCGTCATCTTCTCCATGTACATCAAACAGATCGCTAGATTGCACCTCTTGTTCTTATCAGGTTCCAACGAAAGCGCTTTTCTGCAACATTCAGATCCAAATTCACAAAAGTTTTCAACAAAATTAGATATTTTTTCAACAATTGGATATGGTTTTTTGCCTCTTTCATACCGATATATCTCTTCGGCTAATTTATACTTGTCTTGCTGCAAGTGAGCCCACGCCAAGTTCCCTAATAATCTGATTCAAAAGACATAAATGCACTTTTCATCCTCAAGATCAAAAATTAAAACTATGAATGAGAAATCTGTCGATTTTAAAGATGATTCTACATTTCTAGTTTTCTACCTTGAATACTCTTGTCCCATGGTGATTTGAATCTTCTTCCCTTGTGATCTAGCAAGCTTAGTTCGATTCCCATTCATGCAAGTAGCTTCTTCAATATGCTTAAGTTTTGATTGAAGCAATCCAATCTGTTCATCAATGCGTCCTGATCTCTGTTAACAAATGCAAATTGTTAAGTTCTGATTCTTGATAAATGTGGAAAAGACATATTTAACCTTGTATAATTCAAGAAGAATGTTGTCGAGAGACTCTTGTGCATCTAGTGCACATAAATGACGAAAAGATTTGATGGCTTCGATTGCTTCATCTGATCTGTTCAACTGTTTCATCACTACAGCCATGTCTTTTAAAGCACTATCAACTCGATCACCCAAATTAATAGCAGCCCAAAACATTGATACAGCTTTGCTTGGATTGTTGTCTACTAACTATCAACAAAGATTACAAGATCAGTATATAAAGTTATAAACCTTTAAGCAGATTAGAAGATTAGATGATTAGTTCAGAGTGGTTTCACTTTGGCATTTTATCGAACAGATTGTGATCATTAGAAATGTAATTAGTCTTTTTTCAATAATTTAAGAACAAATTGATCACCATTCGTTTAGATTCTTTAACAAAAGAACATTCAAAGAATTTACAAGAAAGGAAAGAAACCAGCAATCGGTGAAAAGAGAAAGTAAGAAATCGATCAAACCTGAACATGTTTGGCTCTGACGTATGGAGAATCACCGGCGGGAACTTTGTGGATGACATGGAAAAGACTATTACTGTTACCGGATTGCGGTGGTGCCCATTTCTTCTCCGACGCCGGCAACGGTGGTTGCCGAATCGGGAATGGCGGAGAAGAATACATGTTTGAAGAATAGCATCGCTTCTTCTCCGGCTGAGGTGTGGAGAACGGAAATCCTCTTGGAGTTGAATTCGCTGAGTCTTTGTTCGTCCACATTGCTGATTATCTACTTGTGAATTCAACTCATTAATCATCAATTGCTGTAAAAATCGTGTTCTTGAAGGATCAAGAAGATGAGGGTTTAGTGATCGATAAAAGTACGTTAACGGTAATATGTGTAGTTTCTGTTTGAAAAACGTTTCATAGCTTTTGGTATTAATAGATTGAATAGTAATTATCACTAGATAGATTCTGATCACGATCCCACTTTGATGATAATTGAGATTTAAAGAAAATGGTCAAATGAGGAAGATTTTAATTAAAATGGTCATTTTTTTATGTTCCCACCAAAAATAATTTTATAATTTATTTTATATATTGAAAAATTGTTTTTTTATATATTTTAAATTTGCTCATATTTATTGTGAATTCACGATTTTTATGACATCTTTATGAAAATCTTTTCAAGATTGTTTGTTGCATGGACTTTTGTTATGTAACATCCCAAAAACCAATGATAAATTTTTTCATTTTTATAAAAACATTTCCACAACAAATCATAGATAAACAACCATTGTTTTCAAATCATATCCCAAAAAATCAAAGTATCAAGTCAATCCCTCAAAACATAAAACAATAGTAGGATGTGTATGATCACATCTTCGTCTTCCCCCGATCATCAAAAGTATCTAAAAACATGAAATCAACAACTGTAAGCCAAAGCTTAATGAGTTCCCTAAAATACAACAAATACAAGCACAATGCATGCAATCACAAGCCTTCAGTCTGCCCGGACCGCCTTGTGAGGCCTACAGTATACCTGGACCGTTCTCCCGAGCCTACAATCTACTGGCTCGTCTCGCAAGACCTACGGTAGTTGGACCACTCTCCTTTGGGGCTACAATATCAACTTGACCACACGGGCCTCTTGGCCTTCAGTACACAGCTGGACCGCCTCAACCTAACCACAACATGTCGACATACACATATAATCAATATCAAGCAAACACAGGTAATAAAAACAAGTCTACTTGCCTAACATACCGCTACTACATAAAACATCCTATACATAAGGATACATAAACATAATCAAGTGGTCTAGCATTGGTGCCTTCGACCCACGAATAGAGTGAGGAGATTCACCTCGACAACTATCAGATATCCACACAGCTCACTAGAAGACAAGCACCGGAATTACGAGTCACCTATTAATCAAATAGAGACAAATCCTCAATCTAGGATCCTAATTTCCCCAAGTTGACCCAAAAGTCAACTTGGTCAAAGTCAAAGTTAACTGTCAAAGGTCACTCAGCCGGTCGCCACGACATGGTCAAGCTTCTGCCACGTCGTAAGGACTACATGACAAAACAATTGAAATTCAGAGCACCACCACGTCGTGGGCCTTCCTTGGCCACGCCTGGTCTTTGGCAAAAATACCCCTTTCTTTATTAAGAACTTAATTCCTAAAGATAAAGGCTCATAACATCATATCTGGTACTTAATAGCTTTATAATGGATAATGTTTCCAACTTTCTAAATTAGGATGGTCCAAAAAACTAAGATCTAAACTTTTAGTCTCAAAGGGACCAAAAATTCATTTTTCTCAACTTAATCAATTAAGTCCAAGCTTCCAACATTGAAATCTGATTCCTTATCATGTCTGAATGGATAAAGTTTCTAACTTTATCCATTAAAAAGCTCCAAACAAGTAAGATCTAAAAATCTAGTTCATAAGATGTCCAAAACACACATTTCTTCATGCATGAAGTAAAAAGAGCTATTGCATACCCTCTCTACTTCACCCAAATGACCACATCTAAACCTAAACATTACTCAAAAGATCAAGAGTTCTCCGAACTCTATGGAACAAGCCTCAAATAGGACCAAAACTCAATAAAATGGACCAAAATACTAAATACACCTAGATCCAAGGATGAAATGCAATAAAGCTTGGAACTTTATGACTTACAATTGTCTGGAAGGTAAATGAAAGTTGAGATCTTCAACTGCCAAGCGTTAAGGATCAATCTTGCATGAAATCCTCACTCCAAAACCACCAAAAACACTCCAAAAATAGATGAGATGAGAAGGGAGAAGGTTAAAATATGAAGATGGATGCTAGGGTTTCTCCCAAGGGGTTCTAGATGAGATGGCCGCTGAGAAAATACCTTAAAACATGAATCCTTACCTATAATACATTGAAAATCCTAAAAATCATGGGTTTGAGCCTGCCCAACTTCCACTCTGTGGGAGACAGATTGCCACTCTGTGGCGCTTGCCATGTCGTGGAAGGCAATTTGCAACTCCGTGGCACTTGCCACGATGTGGAAGGTAAATTTCCACTCCATGGTGACATGTTTTCACCCAATTCTACTCCAACTTCAAACACTAATAACTTCTTCGTTTTAACTCTGTTTTCGCATTCTTTATATGCACATAAATGTATTGATGATCCCTACAATATCATCTAGTTACTTTTGATATGTATACGAATAATATAATAAAAAATGGGTTTTTTTTGGCAAAAATAACCACTAAATCCAGAATGATCATTACGGATTGAGAAAAAATATTTTTTTTGATAAAAAAAATATATTCCAGACTGATATTTCAGAATTATCGACAAACATTCCGGATTTCGAACTGAAATTTTGGAGTTCGAATTTTTTTTTTCGGAATCTTAAGAACAGGTTTAAAATCTGAATAAAAATTATGAAATTTCAATAAAAAAAAATTCGTTTTTTACTTAAATTTAACAAAAACTTAAACAAACATACTAAATATGAACTATATACGATATTATGGCATACACATCTTATTCAAAAACGGTGACATTAAACACTTTGAAATGGACAACTTAATGGTCAATACAATTTATATTGATAATCGTGTATTCAAAGTATAAGACGTTAAAGGTTTATATTTTAGTGGTTTCTCAATTTTTTTATTAAAAATTTAATTTTTCTTTATTTCATAAAAAAATTGAAATTCGATTCCAATATTTGAATCCAAATTTGAAAATTTTGATATCCAAAACACAGACATCCGAAATTTTGAATTCGGATAACTATCTCAAGTTTCAGATATATCTGGTTTTGAACACCCCTAGTTGAAGCTACGGTGAGGCTAATGTGGCTACGATGGGTCGTCAGTGTAATGACCCAAAAATCAAGGGTAAAAATTTCATTTTTCAATGCAAACAAAACGTATATAACTTAAATCAAAACATTCCAAAAACATGATTAATTAAAACATTCATCAGAGTTCATCCCAAAATCATATATTGCGGAAACACGGGTGTGTGCACTGCGATCAAGCTGAGCCCTTCCTTTCCAAAACAATGATACCTGAAACCATAAACAAAACTGTAAGCACGAAGTTTAGTAAGTTCCCCAGAGCATACCCTACACACAATCCACATATCATATTAGCTATAAAAGCTATCTCTACCACATAACCCATATCACATTAGATATACAAGCTATCTCTACCACATAACATTAGCTATAAAGCTATCTCTACCACATAACATTAGCTATAAAGCTATCTCTACATAACACATTAGCTATAAAAGCTATCTCTACCAAGTATCCCTGCACAAGGATGTCATGGGCTCCCCCACATGGTCTTACACCTAAGTGTCATGGGCTCCCCCATGGTCTTTCCCTGCCGGACAGCCATGGGCTCTCCCACATGTGTTGGATAAGGTGTCTAAGTCCATAACTTATTTGGTATATACTTGACCCGACCCGGCATGGTCC